CAGGGGGCCCTGGGCTGTTTCCAACAGCGATGCCGTCGTTTGCCCCGTTCGTGGTTCAGCGGCATCTGTCTGTGATCTCAGGGAGCTCGCTACATGTTCAATTCCCCGACGTCTAGGTTCGATATTACGCTTTGCACTCCTATCGGGTGCTTGGGGACCCCTCGTGCACAACTGCCCAGGTTGAGTTGACATCCAACGGCGTCAACCAGCACGGCGCTCGTGCGTGCCACCGCCCAGGTGTTGCCCCCCCCACTGACTGCTCGGTTGCGGAGGTCTCTGCTTCTCTTTCGGAAACCTGCACGTGGACAACTACAGTCAACCCGCATAATAAGGATGGGCGGCCTTCCCAAGGGTACCCTTGCATCCTTGCCCCCATCGGTCCATCCTTCGCCACGTTCGTTGGCCGCGCCCCGCTCGAAGAGCTTCGAATTGGGCGTCCAAGGCCCTTGCATCCTTATCGCGCATCCTTACTGCACGGGTTGACTGTACACCTGCATGAACTGTTACTCCGGCGGAATGCTTGAGTCGACGCTGGACCCTCCGGGAAGCCGCCGCCCCATGGCGCGCTCCGCGCGCCGGGGAGGGGCGTCCAGCGCCAGTCCAAGACGTCCACGCGGAGCTCCCAACGCTGATGTCTCTGCAGTTCCTCTGTTCGAGGATCGGCGGGAAGGAAAGCGCTTGGCGGACGAATTAAGTGCAATCAAAATCAGTTACACCAAATCCGAGAAAAACCCAATCAGTGGATGGTTTTCGCTGAGGAGGTCGACCGGGAACCCAGGAGTCCAAAAACCCAGAACCCACCGAAATCGGCCTGGAACCAATAACTGGGAACCCGGGAACCCGGAACCGGGAATCCCTGGCCCAACCTGCTATCAAAATCGGCGGGAAACTTTCGCCAAATCTTTCAACTTCCGCTAGGACCCCTTCCGTGCAAGCACTGATTGGGGAAAAATGTTCCTCAATGGGCCAGGGCCATCTCTAGAGGCCTCCTAGACGGGGTCGGAGGATCTCGCCGCGTCGCCGATCCATCGGCGATGCATCGGCGACGCCGGCGATGCATCGGCAACGTCGGCGTGGGGAAGCACCGTCTCCAACATCGAGCCGCATCGCCGATGCATCGGCGATGCGGCGGGATCCTCCGACCCCATCTACGCGGACCCCATCTAGGAGGACTGGAGTCCCAGTGCGGCTGGAAATACCAGGCGTTGCTCCCTGGGGGGGGGCATTTTAAACGGTGGGGGCACCGACGGGACACGTTTCCTGGACCCTCGGGTCCCTATGGGGCTCCTTGATGAAGAGTTATCTCAAAGGGTTCGGAGCCCCTCTGCCCAGATCTCCCGGGGCGTGGCGCGTGATGTCGCGTGAATCTTTCGGGCCCAAGAGGGCCCCAAGACGGGCCAAGAGGGCCCCAAGAGGTCCCCAAGACGGTCCAAGAGTGCCCCGGGTCGCCGAACGATCGCTCCAAGACGCTCAAGATGGCCCCCGAGACGCCGAAAAAGGCTTCCAACACGCCGAAAGAGGCCTCCAAGAGGCCTCCCTAGAGGGCCCAAGAGGCCAAAACCAATTATCATCGTAAGGTTTTTGTAGAATTTGGGCGTTCTCGTCTTTTCGGCTCCCCGACGCTCCCAGACGGCCGGCGCTGGATGCCCCCAAGACCGCCTCAAGACGGCCCAAGAAGCCTCCAAGAGGGCCCCAAAACTGTCAAAGAGGGCCCAAAAAGAACCCAAGAGGCGCCCCAAACGGCCAGAAAAGGCCCCAAGACGGTACCGCAAGGGGCCCCAAAGAGGGAGCACGAACCGAAAATGCAAGCCTTCCGCCCAGGGACCCCGAGGAGCCTCCCACGAGATCCCAGCTAATATCAAGGGCTTCATACCCACAACCCAGGCACAGTGGCGGGATGGCCCGTTGCTTGTTGCTGGACGAGGCGAGGACACCTGGCGCTCACTTTTATAACAAGCACGATAAAGGTCGCCCCGCAGCCAGGCAAAGGAGAGGAGAGCAGCAGCGGAGGGAAGAGCAAAAGGAGCAGCAGCAGCAGCAGCAGCAGCAGCAGCAGCAGCAGCAGCGGCAGCGGCAGCAGCAGCAGCAGCAGCAGCAGCAGCAGCAGCAGCAGCAGCAGCTAGCAGAAGCAGCCGCAGCAGCTAGCAGCAGCAGCCGCAGCAGCTAGCAGCTAGCAACAGCCGCCGCAGCAGCTAGCAGCAGCAGCCGCAGCAGCTAGCAGCAGCCGCAGGCAGCAGCAGCTAGCAGCAGCAGCAGCAGCAGCAGCAGCAGCAGCAGCAGCAGCAGCAGCAGCAGCAGCAGCAGCAGCAGCAGCAGCAGCAGCAGCAGCAGCAGCTAGCAGCAGCAGCAGCAGCAGCAGCAGCAGCAGCAGCAGCAGCAGCAGCAAGCAGCAGCAGCAGCAGCAGCAGCAAGCAGCAAGCAGCAGCAGCAGCAGCAGCAGCAGCAGCAGCAGCAGCAGCAGCAGCAGCAGCAGCTAGCAGCAGCAGCTAGCAGAACGGGAGGAGAACCTGGCGCTCATACAGTCGGGGCGTTGACCTAAGGAACCCCAAACAGGGAACGAGGCGCCCTTTTTCCCGATAGGTTAAACTCCGATTTCCCATGGAAAACCAAGGGCACCCAGCAAGCTGTAAAACAATCAAGGAGCACCAGGCCCCTCCCCAACGAACAGGGTTCCTTCTTCAGCGCCCCGACTGTACTCGGCGTGGCGAAGGAGCGAGCGGGCCCGGAAGGAGCCGAGTCCAGGGACCACGGGCGGGCACCCCCGCAGGTGAGCCCTCCCCCTGCAGCTCCACGTCCCGCAGGACTGGCGGGACTTGACTACCTACCAGACCACCCCAACCCAACCCGAAGACCCGAATTTCGGGTTTGGGGGGGGAGGGGCTCCACATGTGTTTTTGTCGATGTTTCCCGACCCCCCCCCCACTGGAAATCGAGGGTAAATCCGAGCCTTCGGGTTGGGTTGGGGTGGTTTGGTGGGTGGTGAGGACTCGGGTGGCCGCCGCTCGTGGCCCGGACAGGCGACGCCCGGACCAGGCTGTCCCCATCGTACTTCAGTGACGAGGCAACTACTGGGAGGTTTCCGTCGGAAAGGTCACGGAGGATTGAGCCCCATTTGCGAGCTGGTATACGCCGTATTGGGCCTCGGACTAAGCAGGGTTCAACCGGGTTGAGCGGGATTAAGCCGGATTAAGCGGGATTCAGCTGGATCAAGCCGGAGTTCGGACCAGGACAAAATCAGAATTTGACCTCCCAGGAGTTGCATCCGAACTTAAGGACCACATCCCAGAAATAATTGCGAGCATCCAGGAAAGGATGGCAATAGTGTCAAACGAGTACCGCCTCCCAGGGCCCGACGCGTGAACCCGCCAGTTTCGGTACTTTCTTGGTGCTCGAAATGCGTTCTGGTGGTCAAAGCTGAAAGCTAAAATAGGCTGGAACATCAGAACGCCCTGATTTTCTTTCCACACGGGCTGCCCAAATGTCCCGCCTCTTGCCCCGGGACAGGCTTTCCATCCCGACTTGCTTCTTGACGGCACCAGGGCCCGCCAGGGCTTCCAGAGGGCGACAACTGCCCAACACCTCCCGCCCTAGCTCTTTTCTTTCACGGCGCGAGCATGCCTGGGTAGACCTCGCCTCCCTCTTGGATGCATCGCCGATGCATCGGCGACGCATCTGCCGCGTCGGCGTGGAGATAATCGGGCTCTACGTCGATCCGCATCGTCGATGCATCGGCGATGCGGCGCGATCCTCTGGAGGCCCACCTGCTTCGACCCCATCTGGGAGGCCTATCCAAGATTGAAGGGTAAAAAGATTCCCCATATTTTTTTCTGGGTCTTCGTCTTCCCCCCACTTCCCATAGTTTCCCACATTTCCCCGAGAATCGACGATCCATTGTGTCTGTGTGTTTTTGTTCCCCTCCTGAATTTGGGAGGCCTGTCCAAGATGCCCAACCTCTGGGAGGCGACCGGGGGTTCTGAACTGGTTGGAGCCCAAGTAGTTGCAGTGGGGGCCAGTCCAAAAGAGACCCTCCACAAGAAGCCCTGCCCTGGTTAGGAGGCAATTGCCGGGACGTTTTCGTCGGAAAGATTAAGGACAACCAAGCCCCACTGGGGGGCTACTACGCAGGATTGGGCCGCGGATTGACCGGGATTAAGCCGGATCAAGCAGGATTAAACAGGATTAAGCGGGATTAAGCGGGATGAAGCCGGATTTCGGACCAGGGCAAAATCATAATTTGACCTCCCAGGAGTTGCATCCGAACCCTGGGACCCCAGGACGTGCATAGATTTTGGTATGGGAACGCCGCGCTGGCCATCGGAGAACCATCGAAGCCCGAGAAGCCCAGGGCACCCTGGACGCAAGCAGAATGTTTCTTGGCATGGGTCTCCACTGTAGCGGTCAGGAGGGGGGTATGAAGCCAAATCCGCTCAAAGACCCCTCTCGGGGTCCATCTGGTGCAAGCGGCCCCCGGAGGCCGAAAAGGCAAAACACCGTCCCGAACCGTAGGCTCCCTTCTGAGAAGTCTTCAGAACCTTCCCCAAAGATACCGAAAACCTCTCAGAGGGCAAGAAGCCTTCTGAGAAGCCCCGCCGCCTTCTCAGAAAACCTTCTCCTTCTCACTTCCCCCCCCTCGCTTGCAGCCGACGGCTCGCCATCGCTCGAACGTCCATTTCTTGTGCATTTCTCGACTTCGTTCGTTTCTTTATTCGCAAGATGTTCCAAGATGCTCCTCGCCGAAAACAACTGCACACGTCCGAACGATACCGAGACGAACGCAGACATCTGGCTGCTCCGATTGTTCCGATGCGTGGGCCCCAGACGACCGGACCACTTCCCTAGGGCTGGCTTTTCGTCCTGCATCGTTTCTGACGCTCCCGAGGCCTGGCGAGGGCCCCCCGGGCGCCGAAATCAGGCCAGAACCCGCTGCTCCGACTTTTTTGTTGGGGGGTCGTCCTTTTACCTATTCCGATTCGCCGCTAATTTTTGTTCTGGATCCGATCCGTGCTGCAATCCTGGAGCTGGTGCTTTGGCGTTTCTGGTCGCCGGCCTTTTTGTTACCGCTTCCGTGCTCAAAAGATACGTCTCCGAAACCAGTGGAGGAACGGCCCTGCCGTTGCGGGGCGCCGAGGAGGGCCCGGAAACCCGCCGCTCGGATGTTTTTGTTTGCTGGGGCGCCTGGTCTCGGGGCACGTCCCAGCGATGCCGAGACGAGCGCCCGCACCCCCCCGAAGAGGCGGCGCCCTCCCAAGACCCCCGACGTCATGACTTGTTCGTGTATATATATATATATACACACGTATATACATATATCAATATATAAGTCAGTAAATAAGTAAATACATGTAGATATGCTATATGTAAAAATAGATCCACAACGGTCTCGAGCCCTTCCCAGGGGCTGTCTCCTCCCGGGCCGCCTGTCGACGGAGCCCCGAGGCCCGGTGGGCGCCCCCGGAGGCCGAGCATCAGGACACGCCGCCCGCCATGCGCGCCTCCCCCCCCGAGGAGGCGGCGCCCTCGAGCGCCCCCCCCCCCTGTGAGGCGGGAGTTTACCCGCATCCACTGCCTGGGAACCGACGTCCTGGTGCCCCGGCAGGCGGCGGACATGGATATCTTCGGGCCCCCGGGGGCCCGAAGAGATCCAGATCTACCGCCTGTGGAGGCCCGCGAAGATCGACGCCTCAGGCGGTGGTTCTGGGCAGATTCCCGCCTCGGACCCCCCCCCCGCCGAGGGCGCGGGGCGAGAGGAACGACGAACGGCACAAGCAGAAACTTTGGGCGCTCCGCGCGGATTTCTTGCATTTGCGCCGGCCCCCCTCCCTGGCGCGCGGAGCGCACCAGGGGCGGCGCCAGAGGCGCCGCCCGGGGGGGGCCCAGCGCGGATCCGAGAAATCTGCGCGGAGCGCCAACACTTTCTGTTTACGTATGCCGTTCTTATTCGTCTTCGAAACTTGGGGGGGAGACAGCAAAGGGGAGACAGCAAAGGGGGGGAGACAGCAAAGGGGGGGCGCGGAGACAGCAAAGGGTGAAGCTCAAGGACGCACTTATGAGCAACGAACCCAGACCCCCGACGTCATGATTTTTCCATTGCGTCGATCCCCAGAATTCTCGACCAATTCCCTGGGACCGGTTATTCATCCTGAGTTGTTTCTTGACGGCCCCGAGGCCCGGCAAGGACCCCCGAAAGACGAAAATCAGGAAGCCCGTCGTGACTTCTTCATTGCCCGATGGGGTCTGGGAATGGATCCCTGACCCTGTGCTTATTCCGTTTTCTCTTCTTCGACCCCTGCCGAGGCCGCGGGATGAGGTCGGGCATGTCCCCCTACAGGCGGACTTTGGAGGAAGAATTCAAAATACGGATGCCCCCCCCAAAAATATGTAAAAAAATGCCAAAACAATAACAAAAACAAGTTAAACAATGAAAGAATAATGCTAAAAAGCAATCGTCCCAGGATTTTTTAAAATACTATTTTGTGTATCCCTCCTGTAGAGGGTGGGAAAATTGCATCTTTCGTGCACCCTTCGTGCCCCTTCGGGGCCCTATGGGGGCTCGTTCAGGGCCCCTTTGGGGCCCCTCTCGCGCAACCCTCGACGCCCCCCCCATTTAACGCCCCCCCATTTTGAGCAGGGACCGGCGGTCCCGGCATTCCTCTGGTCCTACCACGACATGTTCTTAGACCCCAGAAGTGTTCTGAGAAGAAACCATGTTCTTGGAACATAAACCCGATGTGGTAAAGCAAGACAAACTCCGCCAGAAATGGTCAAGGAACACTTCGTGGGAACCACAGAAAGCTCTTCGAACACTCGTCACGCCAGCCACGCCCAGGACCGTCCGGTCTCGCGCTCGGGGGCCTACCTCGCCGATCCATCGGCGATGCACCGCCGATGCCAGCTCGGTGCTTCCCCTCCCTTGAGCTGGCCCCTCCCTAATGACCCCCCCTCCCTGCAGGATGTTTGGCTAAAGCCGGTTTTGTCCATCCCCGAGGGCGGCAGTGGAAACCACATCTGTGAAGGGGCCCCAGGACACACAAATACATACACACAAACAAAAACAATCCCCATGTTTTCCTCTGTTTTCTAGGCTTTTGTCTTCCCCCCCCACTTCCCACATGTTCCTATATCTTCCAGGGGATCGACGATCAATTATGCCTGTGTGTTTTTTCCCTCCTGATTGAGTCGGCCACACGCAGGAGTGACCCTGGTTAAGAGTGACCTTTGGTGCGCGGCTTTTTGGGGGCCGCGGGGGGACCAAACACAGGCGCGCGAGGCGTTACTGTCGCATCGCGTTCGGCGATCGGGGAACCCCATTGTGCCCGCAACAGAGGTCACTCCGCCGAAAGGTCACTCTTACGTCTTGTCGATTGAGGCTGGGCACGGGCGCGCGCCTCCGGCTCCAGCGTGCCCGCCTGCCGGAAGGCGATGGCGGCCGGCGCGCCGGCGGGCGCGCCCTGGGCGCGCAGCGGCGGCGCGGCGCGGCCGCAGGCGGCCGCCGCCGCCCGCGAGGCCCGGAGAGCCGACGTTCCGCCCTCCTCCGCCCTCCTCCTCCTCCAAATCCTCCATCCTCCCTCCTGCCTCCTCGCTCCTACCTCATCCCTCCTGCCTCCTCGTTCCTCCCTCCTCCCTCCTCCCTCCTCCTCCTCCCGCCTCCTTCTCGGCCCTGGCGAGAAGGCAGGGCCGTAGCCCAACCACTCGCAGAGGATTTTGACAGAAGCGCGTAGGTCACCTGAGTAGGTGCTCTGACGTTGCACCGCCTTATGCGGATGTCCTTGTCCTTGTCCCTCCTCCTTCTCCCTCCTCCCAACTCCCTCCTCTTCTTGCTCCTTCTCCTCCTTCTCCTCCTGCTCCTCCTCCTCCTCCTCCTCCTCCTCCTCCTGCTCCTCCAAAAATCGGAACGGTGGGCTCGGGCCCGTTTGCGGCGTCCGGGGGGGCCCTCGCCGGGCCGCGGGGGCGCCTGACAACGAGGCAGGACGAAACACCGGCCCCATGGTCTAGGCCTCCCAGATGGGGTCGGAGCAGACGGGGTCGGAGGATCGCATCGCATCGCCGATGCATCGGCGATGCGCTTCGATGTGGAGCCCGACCTTCTCCACGTGGACGTCGCCGCTACATCGCCGACGCCGCCAAAAGCGTTGTCGATCGTCGATGCATCGACGATGCATCGCCGATGCATCGGCGAGGCGGCGAGATCCTCCGGCCCCATCTAGTCCGACCCCATCTGGGAGGCCGCTATACAGGGAAGTGGTCCGGCGGGGCCGACGCATCGGGAAACATTGGAGCGGCCGGATGCCTGGGAAGCGGGGCGCAAAGGGACATGCTGGTACTACGCGTCCAGCGTATGACAAAAGTAGCCTGGCGAGGGACATGGCTCTGGCTAAACAATGTTCTTCGTCTCGGCTCTGATTTCGCTATACCCTGCGATCCACACCGCAAGCCACCCCGCGACCCGCACCGCGACCCCCCCGCGACCCCCTCGCGACTCGGCCAGCGACCCACCCGCACCCTGCGACCCACCCGCGATCCACTCTGGGACCCAACCACATTGCTTCAACGAAAAAACCGCACCTGCGGCGGGCTCCCTTCATAAATTGTAAAACTTAGGCGCCTGCGGCGTGCTTCTTCAGAGCCTCGCAGACTGCCGACGTCCTCGCCGCCCCCTCGAGCTCGGACTGCTATCTGCCCCCGAACAGCCAGATCACCTTGCGTCAAAAATCAAAGAAACTGCAACTTGCGATGAAAGACTCGGTTCTGGCGGAAGCGGGTCCTGGATCCAAGAGCTATCCTCCAACACCACTTTATCGTCATCCAGAATCGCTCTTTAAACAGGTGTCCCAGAGTCGTGGACGGCGAGACACCTCCGGGGGCCCTTCTTCCTCAGGACCCCCTTTCTTCAAGGAGACCAGGTTTTTGTTATTCGCGATACTGCCCGTTACGGGCTGGGCCCCCCCCCCCCCCCCCCTGGTAGCGTCAAGAATCGCGCCAGCTCCGTCTCGGAATAAGTATTAGCCACTCCTCCGACGGAACCAGCATCCTGCGCCCCCCCCCCGCCGGTGACGCCCGCTGTCGCCAGGAAATACAAAGGTGCCATGGCGAGCAATGGTCGCCCAGGCGGCAAGGCAGCAAGCCGAGAGATGAGAGGAAGCTGTGAAGTCAGGCAGCGCTCTCACCCAAATAAAACAGAAGGGAGGAAAACGAGGAGGAGGAGGGAGGGAGGCGAGCCCCAAACGCTCCCCTGTGGCTGCATTCGGGGATCTCGTCCCCAGAGGGGGCGTGGCGAGACACCGCGGAGCGCGGCGCCGCGCGGGGGCAGCGCTCGCCTTCGCGCCCTCCTCGTCGCTGTCGTCCACCCGGTAGGCCTCCGCGGCGCGCCCGGGGGGGCTCCGCCGGAGGCCGACGTCAGACACTGCAGGCACCCGACGTCACGATCATTGCGAGGAGGGAAGCGTGCATTTCGCGCGCTAGTTTGATTGGCACAACGAGAGAGGAAGCGAGAGAGAGAGAGAGAGAGAAAGAGAGAAAGAAAGAAACCATGTAACAACATAAAGACGGATGGCGAGATATATATATATATATATACATATATATATATATATATATATATAAACAGACAGAGAAAGAGAGAGAGAGAGAGAGACAGAGAGAGAGAGAAAAACAACAACAACAACAACAACAACAACAACAACAACAACAACAACAACAACAACAACAACAACAACAACACCACCAACAACAACAACAACAACAACAACAACAACAACACCAACACCAACAACAACAACAACAACAACAACAACAACAACAACAAACGTCCGACGCAGACGACAGACCACATAAGGCAACCGTACAATTCGCGCACGGCTTGCGTGCACGTCGCGCACGTGTTCCGGGTCGCTCAAGTTCGCGCCCTCTGCGAGCGAGCGCGGGGCCTCGCGCGAGCACCTCCGCGGGGCCTCGCGCCATCCCCCCCCCCCCTGGAGAGAAGGGGCGGCCACGCTGGCCCAGCCCGCGGCGCGCGAGGCGCGACCGATCATCCTCGCGACACCCCGCGGGTGACGTTTTGGGCGCCCGAAGCGGGTACGGAAACAATGGGTACAATACCCAACAGCAAATGCTGTCCCAAACCAACAGCGGCCGTTGTTGCGCAGGCGGCCTTCTGTGTCGAATGGACACAGGCCGCGGCGGCGCGGACAACGAGTGCGGTTCAAAATGAACGGGAACTTTTGTTGAAGATTGTGCCCATTCTTTCCGTGCCCATCTCGTTCGTGCAGAGACATGGGCGCACACGTCTGTCGGAAGAAGCAGGCAAAGAATCGAAGTCGGAGGGCGGATAAGGTAGGAAGGCGGTGAAATCATGAAGTAGGTAAAGACATGAGGCAGGAAGGCAGATTGAGTGGACTGGGTCCAGGGCCCTCCCAGAGAATAGCACCACACAGCAAGAGCATACCGACACCTGAAGTAGGAAGGCGCTTGAAGTGGATGTGGGATCTGGGAGTCCAGAAAGACCTACGTTCACCGGCCGACGTATACCCATAACCACCGCACAGGTGGCGACTGCAGTCGGGAAACAAATCCCGAGCATAGCCACACGACCCACGACCACAACTACGCCCACGACGCACGCGAGGTGCGCTACCGATCCGTATGGAAGCACTCACGGAAGAGGGTGGCAGAAGACAGTGAGGGAGGACAGGACATCGGCGGCGAGCCTGGGGGGAAACGAGAAGAGGCGGGCTTTCTCACAAGGCGCGGTCAAGAGCGGCGCCAGCCTCCCGCAAGGGTGGGTGGGGCGCCCTCGAGCTAGGAGGAGTCGGCTTGCGGGGGGGGGTCGGGCGCGCGGGAGGCGGGCGGAGGCGTGGCCGGCGCCCAGCGCCCCCGGGGGGCTCCATGTTGGATTTCCCAGGCTGCGCCAAGCGCGCGCACGCGTTACTTGCCCGCGCGCTCACATTCGCGCGAGCGCATCGTAAGAAACTATGATTTGGATCGGAAGCGGGCGACAACGGGCATGGGGCGCCTGTCAAGGCTGCTTCTGGGAGCGATTGCTGCTGGCTCGGCACGCGCGATATGCATGTGACGACTTTTGGAAGACGGGCGCTGCACCGCCCAATCCAACGCGGCAATGGCGCGGTCCGGGGCGCGCGGCCGTCGCGGCGCGCGGCGGTCGACGTGGCCGCGTGGGGCGCGCGATCGGCCGCGCGGTATTTGCGGGCCATTCGGCCGACGCTGCCGGGTCGCCCTGAAACAGCCCGCCAAGAATACGCAAATGCGCAATGCGCCAGCGCGCCGCCAGGATATCGCCCTGAAAACAACCTGTTCATGAACGCCGACTGCGCGCCTCGCTGAACCAGCGAAGTCGCGCGGCGCGCCCGCGCCGCGGACCCGCCGCAATGAACTCGCGGGAAAAAGGCCTCTCCATGGGTTATGGCATCGATTCTGGCCTACTTCCCCGTTCTGGCCGATTCTGGTTCCATCGCCGATTCCTCCTTTGATTCCGCATTGATTCCGTACTGATTCTTTTGATTCCGCTAGAATCAGGGGTCGCAGTTGTGCCGATTCTGTTTTGATTCTGTACTGATTCCGTACTGATTCCTTTGATTCCCCTGTGCTCCGGGGACCATCAGGCCGCGGCCCGAGCCCCCGCCTCGGCGGCGTGGTTTTTCCATGAGCGCGGGAGAAGTTTTGAGGGGGAGGGGGGCGGGGGGGGAGGCGGAGCGATTTTTGGGGCGCATCGGGCGGCCGAGCCACAGATTTCCAGGCCCAGTGCGCACGCCCAACATGGCAGGCGCGGGCGCGCGCGCGAGTTCTCGACCGTCGGCGCATCTGTAAGTTCATAACCCGTCCCGCGCGCGGGAATGGAAACTTGCGTTGCGGTTTCCAATTGAACGCGCGGCCGTCGCAACTGCATCGCATTGCTCAGCGCGCAAAGCGCGCAGCATGGGGGGCTTTGCGTTCTCGCGTGAGAAGTGCGCGGAACCGAACCGAACGGTCGGCGGCGCCCGCTCCTGCGCCGCGCGCGAGGCCATCGCGTCAGCGCGGGAGGCTACAAGGGCCTGGGCCGTCGCCCTAGGGCGCGGGCACAGCGCGAGGCCCGCGCGGGTCTCTCGCGCCAAACATGCGCAACAAGGCCGGCCGCCCGCCGGCTGGCGCTCGCGGGCGACGCGACGCCGGCGCCGACTGCGAGGCCGACCGGGCCCAGAGGATTCCTGAGAGTCCCGGGATGGCGCAGCGGGCCGCGATGGAATCGGCGCGGTCGTTGGCGCCCCCCCCGCGCCGGCCCCCCCCTGCAAGCCGACTCCTCCTACCTCGAGCGCCCTCGAGCGGTACCAAAAGAGAAACGCGCGGGGAGCAGGTCCGAGCAGGGCTCGACCCGAATGGTGCACTTCGCTATCGAGTGGGTGGCGGGGAAGAGGAGGAAAAGGAGGAGGGGAAGGGAGGATGGAGGATGGAGGATGGAGGATGGAGGAGGAGGAGGAGGAGGAGGAGGAGGAGGAGGAGGAGGACGAGGCGCGCTCGCTCGCAATCTGCGCATGGCCAGGTTTCGCAGTTCGTGAATCGGAGTTGGCCGCAGGGCGTTCGGGAAGCACTATGCCCCCGCCGATGTCAAAACACAAGGGGAGCCCCTCCCCCAGCAATCAGCTCGGGGACTCCCTGATTGAAGCACAGGGTAGAGAGGCCTGTACGTGCATACACATACAACATCTCGGAGACGCAAAGCGGACAAGAGGGACAGCGGCGGCAGCCAGGGGCGGCAGCAGCAGAGGACAAGAGGGGGAGAGATAGGCCAGCCAGGCCCCTATGCCTAGGCTGGGGCACCAGTGGGGCAGTAGACGAGGAACTACCTCGCTCGAATCCCCAGCAATTCAACCAAAGACTGCATTCGAACGAACTACTTACCCCTAGAATTTCCAGATCCTTTCCCACGGCCTCTATGTCTGCCTCGGCCTTTGGGGCGCATCAGCGGGCCCCACTCACCTTGAAACTACGCCAACCCGCGCTCAGAGATCGAACCCAGGGCCCGCCGAGATTATTCTTGGACTTCCTGTGGTGGGCTCCGCGAAGCATTTTCTCCAGCGAATTCTGAACTCGGCGCTCCTGGGTGGTTTTCGGTGGGGGGCCCAGCTTCGGCGTGCCCCCGAGGGCCATGAACAGGGCCGTGAGAACCGAATTCAGAGGAATCATCAGGCCTCCAGGTCCCTGAACCCACGAGTTGACGGCGAAAGTGCGGCGGACGAGAGGCGGAGCTCCTTCCTTCACGAAGGCGGTCCTCGCCTTCCAGTAGCATAGCGCCTCGCATGCCACGGCCACCGGCTGCGCCTTCACGTGCTGGATGAGCTTCGTCACGGACTGCGCGTGCTCCTGCAGGTTCGGGTTCTGCTTCAGCGCTTCCTGGTTGATCAGCGACGTGAGAACCGCCAAGCTCACCTGCAAGCTGGGAGGGCCCAGTCCGTGGTCCGCGGGCTTGTCCTTCACCGTGTCTGAGTACTTCTGAGCGGCTCCGATGGCGGCTAAGTTGATGCTGTGTTCTTTCGGCAGCAAGTGCGTGCTGAAGAGGCATCCTTCGACTGCTCGTTGACGCTGTGCGTTGTTGAGAACTCCTTTCATCATCTCGGTCGCGGTCTCGCCGTCCGTGTCGCTGTCCTACGCCATGGCCGTGTCGGCTGCCCCCCTGGGGGAGTGCTGGCGGCGGCTCTTGGAGTCGCGCGGCTCGCGCTGCTTGCCGCTGCCTTCAGCGCCGAACGAGTTCGTCTGAGAATCGGCTAAGCGCTTCTTCGCCTGGTCAAGCTCCGTCTGGCCGACTGGCATCGCCCACGACATGAGATGCGGCGAAGGAGAAGGTGGCGTCGGACAAATCTATATGTGTGCGTACATGTCTCTGCAGAGCCTCGAGCGACGGATGATCCCTGCTGCAGGCTGGGCACTCAAACGTGGGTGGTTAAATCGGCTCGCGATGAATCGGGGATCGATCGCATTGACAGCTGCGCTTGAGAAATAGGCGTCGAACGTGCTGACGAGAGATCGCGACGGTCGAGTGCGTGCTCATGCACCAGGGGCGCTGATTCGTGACCGTGAGGAGCTGGGAGAGGGCCCGGTGACCGTGACTACCCTCCGTGCACAAACGCATGTTTGCGTGCCAGCCCTGTTGATCATGAAACTCCAACCCGCACTCTGAACCATCTGCTTTCGTCTCATTGCAACGCCAAACTCGCGGAGGGGGTGCTGGGTCAAGATCGTGCTGTTCGCCTCCTTCTCCTGCAGCAGCAGCTCCTCCACCGCCCTCCACCCGTCTCTCCCCCGCCTCGTCGATCTCCCCCTCCCAGAACCTGTTGCGGAGCTTGCCAAAGTTTAAGTTGTGAAGCCT